AGATATCTGTATGGTTAGCCCTGCTAAGTTCTATGCTTTAAGACGTTATAGTGGTAAATAAGGGAACCGGCTGCTGTTACAGTGCCAACACGGTTTAATTTAATAACTAACACACCTTACACTGGATAGTCTAAAGCCATCCCTAGTATCTCTGTGGATCTGTCCATAAAAGAATTAGGAGGTCGGTGACACGTTCCCTTGCTTTTAATGCTGATATAATATAGAATCAAGTTTTACTTTTAAACACATTTACCAGATTTTGTTATTTTCTCTGTGGAGCGGTCCATTTCATGTATAATTGTTTTCTTCTTGTTTTCTTCCACAGAGCTGTTTTTCAGAATATGAAGATTAGACCCAGCGGGACACAGGGTGATTAACAGGGTGAGAAAAGGGAGTCTTTTATTTTATGTGAATATCTACCTTTGGATTTCAAGCCTGAAGTTTTAATGAATGGGTAGAGATCGGGTTTCTTTAGAGTTTAATTTGTGTTGTTTCTACTGACTGTGACTTTGAGCAGAGCATTAATTGCAATGTTCCAGCATGATATTGACTTGATCTTATTTGAACATAAATTGTCCATATGCTCTCCATTTTTCTGATTTTTTATGGTCATGTTCTCAATAGTAATGAGGAGCAAACAAGAGATACATATGGGACGGGTGAATAGAATTCTACTGACTTGTCACAAATGTTGCAAAACCTCTATTGACTTCAACATGGAAATCATCTTCTAACCAGCACACGCCCCTCCTTAGTATTGTCACCAGGTCACAAGAAATGAGAATTGATAGCTGTTGTTTTCCTAATTAATTTCAATTAGTCTGATGTTCATTGCAAAGTGATGATTACGCTAATTCCCACCTCAATCTGAAGCACATTTTCGTTCATCACCATTCAGACAGAAGAAAATCCTGACTGATTTTTCCTCCTGAGTTCACGTTGTGTATATTAGGTCAATTAACGATGCATATGGTTTATAAAAATCCATGTGAAAGTTTGCTTTGCTTCTACCGATTCTTAAGAATGGAGATTGCAATAAAACTTCTCCCAGTTGACCAATGGTCGGAAAAAGAATATGATGACCATTGACAAATGAATGGAATAATGAGCTGTCCATGGTGGTACAGGCATCACTTTAGGAAGGGGCAGAACCCCTATACGACCAAGTAGGTAACAGTTTAAAAGGTACTCTATTTTTTCTTGAACACACTTCAAATAGCTGATGCACTGCAGTGTTGCCATCTAGTGGTGAAAGTATGTTTGCCACCCCAATTCTTAGCCTTTTGTATATGTGAATTTACAAATGACCACATAGATTGGACCATTATATATTATTGTGTCTGGTCCTTCCTGTGCATCCCCTACCATAATATTTTTAGTGTACTATATATAATTGTCTGATCATGTTTTTCAAAGTTATTTTATGGCAGATGGCCTCTGTTTGGTAAAACTAGTGAATTATGTAAAATATATTGTACAGAGGTTACTCCGTTAGGGAACATATTTCTTATATAATAATTCTCAAGAACTTGGATACCAAATTTAGAAGAAAATCCTTAATTATAACCAGAATAACTATACACATAAATCATTAATAGTGCATGGATGAATGGAAAATAAATTTAGTAGATTAAAATAGTGTTTCTATTAATGGGGGTGGAATATCCCATTTTACTGTACTCCAAGGTGGGTAATAAGAAGCTTAACCCCTTTACTGCTGGGAATTATGCAGAATGAACATTTACTTGTGTTCTGGACAGTAATCTAAAAATGTATTTTCATGCAGTATGTAGATACTAATATTTTCTTGAGAAGGCTAATATCTTTGTTTATTGTTCATAGACAGAAATCCTTTGAAAAATCAATGAAAAATATCAGAAAATAGATTTTTAAATAAATTTCACTTTTCAATATGTGCCAATTTGTTCAGCTATGATAGAGCCCCCACAAATGCCCAAATCTTCCCATGTTTCAGATAATTCCTCCATATATTTGCCCAATGTCTTGTTGCCCCCACGTTGATAAACTGCCCAATATGTTACACTGACTAAATATTTCAAGAAATACTGTACCACATTTCCCATATTGCCACCACATCACCCGAAATTACCACGTTTCTCAAACCTGCGGCAGCATTGCGTCTTCCCTTTGGTGCCAGCATATTGCTACCAAATTGCACTGTAGTGGCACTACCCAACGTTAAACACGAACGCTCACTTAGTCCTTTTTCCTGTTGCTCACTCGCACAGTTAGTGCTGCAATTAGAATCAGTTTCTGTGAGTGATACAATTACCAGCACCTGTGCTTCTCTTTGCATTGCTTGTCTGTGGATAGTATCCCCAGGAGTCAGTTAGTATCTCTGTGTCCAGCTCTTAGCACCAGCTGGGTGTCATCTTAACTGTGCTGTCCATACTTTTAGGGTATATTTTGCCTCCCCTGGATATATTTTATTTGTAAAAATACATGTTATGTGTTTGCTGGATCTGAATCCCTAGTCTCAGAAGGGGTTAATGCTGTGCGCGTTGATCTCGTACTCTGTAATGCACTGTCATTAAATAAGCTGAATTCCCCACCTCTGTTGGAATTTTCTCTCGTACAATAAACCAGACTGGACGTAGCTAAAATTACTAGTGACCTTCTTGGAGCTGTCGGCTCCTTTATTGCCGCTTCTTGGCAGATTGTCACAGATAGGCTCGTTATCAAGGTAGAAAGACAAAATATGTGCTCATTCCACATAGCCATGATTCAAGTTCTGTATGAATCTCAAAGTAAATTTCCACTTTGAGGAAAAACAGATTAAATAAAATCAAACTGAAAGCAACTCTGTTTTGTGCTGTTTGTTTCTGAAGTTGCATTTAAAAAGATAAATTCGCCATCCAGATAAAACATCAAGCATGGTGGTTGTTTGTGATCGCTTGCACATGTGAGATCAGTAAAAAGATAGCTTCATGGACTGAAAGCAATGAGAGGGGGCGGGTGTGCAATGTGCTGTTATATTGGATTGGATTCACATTGCTTGGTTTATTCATATTATTCAAATAATGATGAGGGGGGATAGTAATGGTAATTTGAAACATTTGCCCTAAAATTCCTAAATAATGATTAGATCATTTTAGCTGCACTGTTTATGTTGCCTCTCAACATTTGGGGTGTGGGGTGTGGCTAGAGGCAAGGCTGTTCTGAGTTTAAGTTTGGCTGTGGTCATGGTCGGGACTGATCTGAGAATTTTTAGATGATTTAATAACTAATAATTTATCCGAACTAAAATTTAATTTATAAGAACAATGTATCCTGTTTACATAGACTGATTTCTAAACACATTTAATTATAGTTTAAAGACACATTGCTGGGAGTATTATTACTGTGGAGCTCTGTTATACACTCAGACACATTACTGGGAGTATTATTGCTGTGGAGCTCTGTTATACACTCAGACACATTACTGGGAGTATTATTGCTGTGGAGCTCTGTTATACACTCAGACACATTACTGGGAGTATTATTGCTGTGGAGCTCTGTTATACACTCAGACACATTACTGGGAGTATTATTGCTGTGGAGCTCTGTTATACACTCAGACACATTACTGGGAGTATTATTGCTGTGGAGCTCTGTTATACACTCAGACACATTACTGGGAGTATTATTGCTGTGGAGCTCTGTTATACACTCAGACACATTACTGGGAGTATTATTACTGTGGAGCTCTGTTATACACTCAGACACATTACTGGGAGTATTATTGCTGTGGAGCTCTGTTATACACTCAGACACATTACTGGGAGTATTATTGCTGTGGAGCTCTGTTATACACTCAGACACATTACTGGGAGTATTATTGCTGTAGAGCTCTGTTATAAACTCAGACACATTACTGGGAGTATTATTGCTGTGGAGCTCTGTTATACACTCAGACACATTACTGGGAGTATTATTGCTGTGGAGCTCTGTTATACACTCAGACACATTACTGGGAGTATTATTGCTGTGGAGCTCTGTTATACACTCAGACACATTACTGGGAGTATTATTGCTGTGGAGCTCTGTTATACACTCAGACACATTACTGGGAGTGTTATTGCCGTGGAGCTCTGTTATACACTCAGACACATTACTGGGAGCATTATTGCTGGGGAGTTCTGTTATACACTCAGGCACATTACTGGGAGTATTATTGCTGTGGAGCTCTGTTACACACACAGACACATTACTGGGGGTATTATTGCTGTGGAGCTCTGTTATACACTCAGACACATTACTGGGAGTATTATTGCCGTGGAGCGCTGTTATACACTCAGACACATTACTGGGAGTATTATTGCTGTGGTGTTCCAAACAAAACGCGCAATGAGCATGTCCATTTTGAGTCGTGATTCAGAATTCTACCTGTGAAGCCAAAAAGAGAGATGATCAATGGTAAAAAAATAAAAAAATAAATTGATGGTTTGGGGGGGCAGTCAATAAATGTTAATTTTATTTACAGATCAAGTAAAGGAAGAGCAATAAAAATGAGGTTATATATTTCTATATTATATATTTAATGATTATAAATATAATGTGTAGATATCAATGTTTTACTGCATCTCTATTGGTTACTTTTTGACTCGATCTGTGAAACAAACCCCTATCAGTGTACTGCAAGCTACATACATAATATTTATTGATTGACCTATTTTAACACCATTTTGGTTCATCTGATTTCCCAAATCAGTTTTTCATTACCATAATTCCGAATCGACATATGGATGAAATTTGGCCAAAATGAATTTTCTCAGCTTGGATTACTATATATTAATAATTGTGGATAATTTGGATTTTTTTTATTTTTTTGTTACATACACAAGAAATCTGTGTTTTCATATTGTATTTCATTTTCTCTTTCACTGACTAAATTTTCCTT